TTCCTGATGCTCCCATACATTGCTTGCATGTTGCCTTGGTCAACAACTTTTTGGATACTTTCGCACAGTTGTAGCCAGTGATTGTTTGCACACTGTATCACTGTACATTTGAGCTTTTGCTGGATCTCTTGAAGTGCCTGCAAGTTGGAGTAGCTAAGGTCACACTTGTATTTAAGGAAACCTGACCATTTCTTTTCTATGAGTGAGATCATTTCAGATTAGTTCTCATCAAACTAATCATTTGAGCTGCGATGCAAGGTACCACAAGGGTCCAAGGCAGTTTGATAGCTTGTTCCTTTGAGCTGAATCCATTTCTTCTCAGCAGTATTACACAGCTTAAGAGATGATAGAGCCCTGGAGAGTTTTGATAAATCAAGATGATGTGTCTTTAGCTTTCAGTCACATAGCATTTATTTGTAGTAAGGAGAGTTTCTTATTCCTGTACAATTTCCTGGGACACACTTTGACTTTAGTGCATATCAGTGAATGACCACTATCAGTCAGCACTCTGATAGGATGGCATGATGATTACATCACGAAGTCTTGCGAGCGGGTGATAATCAAGCTGAGTTCATGCCAGTGTCCAGATCGTGGGTGGCACCAAGGTACTTTATGTTGAGCTTTCACACTGAAGAAACAATTTGTTTATACATAGCTCATTACATGAACAAAGCTCAAGCAAAACATTTGTCCGTTTTCATTCATTTTGCTGATACCATTGGTGCATACACTGTGCAGCCAGGCAGCACACTCAGCACCAACCCTTGTGTTGAAGTCTCCAAGCAGGAGGATTTTTTCATTATGTGAAATATTACTGACTAAAGCACTAAGCTCATCGTGGAAGTGGTCCTTTGATTCAGATGAAACGGTGAGAGTAGGGGGATATGCACATAAGAGATTGGCAGGACCAGAGGCAGTAGTGAGTCAAAGCACTATTAATCTTTTGGAGCCCTTGCTTGGGGGTTTTATTGCAAACAACAGTTTATTTTTGAGTGCAAAGCCAACGCCATGCTCTCCAATTTCTTTGGGCTGTTTACCACACCAGAAAAAGGTGTACTTCTTCTCTTTTAGGCAGCCAGTCCCTGGCAGTCTGGTCTCTCGTAGAGCAGCAATCTTGACATTCAGTCTTAGGAGTGATGCATCAATGACTTCAGTTTTATGCGCATAGTGAATTGTTTGGAGGCCATTGGATATACCTGGGGTCATTGTATGTACATTGCAACTTACAGTCTATAGGACTGAAAGTTTTTCCTTGCATTTTAATAGTAGCTGGTGGTGCACAATAGCAGTTTGCTTTGAAGTTGAATCTCTAAGCTCCAAGCAGCCATTGACACAGCAGACTGGCAGGAAAACACCTTATTGGCTGGGGACTGCCCAGCTTGAGGTGGGCAGTAGTTTTCCAATGGGGTTCAATGACTTCTCCCACCATCAGAGACAACCTCTGGTGCCTGGATCGATGCCAATCGATCCATGGCTTATAACTGGTAATCGTTGACTCTTGTTTGTTTCAACATGTTGGCGAAACTGAAGTAACCTCTCCAGGGCAGAAAAGCCTGGGTGTTTGCTAGGTGATCAAGAATTGCCCAAGCATCAGAATCACCCTGTCAAATCTGCTGACTTATCTGTTGGAAAGGTAGAACCAATATGATGTGGGGACAGGAAAGTTGTTAGGAGCTGCCAGAAAGAAGATTGAATTAATCGCCTGTCTTAGGGGCTCCAGTCCGGATTTTCTTTCAGGGTTTATTCCTTTAGCCTTAACCTCTCCCAAGGCAGTGGTTGTGGTTACTGTCATCTTCTTCCACCAGCTTTGCCATATACTCTTCTGCTGCAGCTGTTGTTGCAATGACTAGAGGACAGCTCTTAATGATGAGAACTGTTGTCCCTCCCTTATGTAATCTCTTGTGCATAACAGGAGGAGGGAATGGTCAAGGAAGAGAACACAGGCAAAGGTAAATTTAAGCAAAGCAAGAAAAGCTTTTAATTGAATGCCATTGCATTCTTAATGAACAGCAAAAGATTAAGAACATGGTTCTACAAAACACTTTACGTGTAGAGGCACCACCTTTGCTTGAAAGTATGTGAGCATGAATTGCCTTCGGAGGTGCACTGGGTTTGATTCTCTACTCACATGTACCAGTGTAGCTCTGTAGATGCTGGAGGAGTAACTTCAGTTTTACACTAACGTAAGTCAGATCAGAAACAGATTAACTGTAGGGCTGTGCAAAGCTTTGGGTGCTGATTCGATTCGGAGGAGATTTGGTCCAATTTGGTGGCCAAATCTCTGAATCTGAATTGAATCAGAGGACCAATTAAAAGGTCTGAATTGATTCAGAAAAGATTCGGAGAACTTCAGTGATTCAGGCAGTCCCCGCCTGCTGCAGGAGGGAGCTGGACCTGGACTCTGAGCTGGTAAGTAGGGGGAGGGGCTGAGGAGGGGGGAGGGGGACCATGGAGGGACCCCTGCCAGGTACCATCCCCTGTCTGCTCCCCCAGCCCCCCCATTGCCGCCCCGCCTGGCCCTAGCTCCGGGCCTTTTAAAAAAAGTCCACACTCACCAGGTGTTGCTGAGCAGGGGGGCGATCCCCGCTGCCCCCACTGCCCCATGCTGTGTGAGGGGCTCTGTCACAAGTTCCCTGACCCCTGTATGCTGTCCCAGCCCCCACATGGCTGCCCTGCCTGCCCTAGCTCCAGCCCTTTAAGAAAAAAAACCCCAGCCCCCCCAGACTCATCAGCTGCTGCAGCGGCCTTGGGGCTTCTGGGGGCTCATGCAGAGCCCCCCACACAGCGCGAGGCAGTGGGGGTCAGCGGGGATTGGCCCCCTGCCAGGCAGCAGCTGGTGAGCGGGGGCTTTTTTTTTTCAAAGTGCCGGGAGTTGGGGCGGGCAGGGCAGCCATTGAGAATAGGCGGTGGATGGGCCTGTGTGATTCAGAGATTAGGCTGATTTGGCAGCAGCTGAATCTTCGAATCAGATTCGGACAAATCGATTTGGGACAGTGATTCGAATCATCGAATCGAATCACTGTCCCCCGAATTGGCTGAATCCGAATCCAAAGCGAATACTAGTCACTTCACACAGGCCTAATTGACTGCACTCAGTACATGTTGCTAGACTTAACACAGTTTGGGACCTTTGTTAGGTAATATGTAGCCAGAATAGGAAAGTGATCATGTGGTGTTTCTCACATTTATGCCTTTGTTCCTTGCCTATTAATAAGCCTTCCCTCTTCATTTTGCATCTGTGCCAAGGGTGTTACAAGAATGTTGACTAAACTGTAATGTAAATATGAGGTATTGCCATTGTAGAGCACTCTTTTTTTGAAAACATATGCTGCACTCTCCTTGTCACGCTATTTGCACATCCTTACAATGAAGTTTATTTTTGGACATTGTTGACAGTCATGTAACAATAATACAAAGCATTTTCATGGTGTATTAGATAAACCATGCAGATATGTAACAGAGCTGTAATGTATAGTAACTAGGCTCTGTGCATGCCCCATTGAACTCCTCAACCACAAACTTTTGTCATGCATGTCTTACTCCTTTATCATTTTATCAGATGAAAAAGCAGCTGGTAAATAAGTGTCTTTAAAAAATCACATGAGGAAATATTGGGAAGGCTGTGGGTTCTCTGGTAGTGACTGTTACAGTACAGTACAGTTGCAGAATGTTTTAATCATCATCCATTGTTTGCTTTTACTTGTACCTCTCTGCAAATTTTGATTCTAGACTCAAGTTTCCATGGCTGAAATACGGTTTTAAAGAAGGATTTTTTCCCCCCCATTTTTTGGGCAAATTGCTTCAGTTATGTTTGGGTTATATGTTCATGAAAGAAAAATTCCCACTTTAAAAACATCCAGAACACTGTCTATCCAGTGAACTTTAAATGTCAAACTTTGCCTGAACCTAAGCTTCCTCAAGGGGTGAGTTGTTACGTCAGAAAAGGAACTGGCTGGAAAATTACAGAATGGATGAATGTTTGAAAATGTGGGCTAAAGCACAGTAGGAATTTCACATTGCTTGGAAAAAGACCATTTAATGGATGCTGGATTAAACTGATCCACTTCAGTTGTGTCAGAGATATGGTTGCTTATACATTTGGGGAAAATGTCTCTTAATATCCCAAAGGTATGTGAAATCTAACATTGTTAGAAACTGAAGGAGAACTGGTTTAACATTTGAGTTACAGGGAAAAATTGCACTTTTCCACTTTCAAGTAAAAACAGCCAGTGTTTCAGACTCTTTGTAAGGCATGTCTTTAGTGGGACTGGTAGTGGATCTATAATAGATCCAGTAGTAGATCTATGAAAAATTTGTTAAAAATCACACAATTTAAAGTTTTTTTTCTCATAAGCAATTGCCTTGATTCCATAGGGACATTCATATGACAGTGAATGAGAAGGAAGATTTTGTCAAGATGATCTGCGTTTTAAAATGTGATCCATTTGAGTTGTTAGAATGTGAATCAGTAAACATTGCATTAGGAATCCTTATTCACTCCCTTGTTATGTAAATGATGCAGTTGCCCCATTACCTTAATGAAGAGATTGCATTTAGCAAGAAAAGAGATTTTAGCAAGTTCAGGAAAGCGCTTAAGCATGTTCTTAAGTCCGTCTTTGTTCAGATAAGCGAGTAGATACCTATTCAGCATTTAAGCATGTGAAGTTTGTTGTCGTCACTAGGACTTGAGTATACGTTTAAATGCTGTCCTGATTCTGAATTAGGGGATAAGCGTGCAGAAAAGTATAGGCAGACAAGGTTCTTTGGGTAAATCTGATATCTTTTCTTACACCAACTAAATAGTTGGAAAAAATGTTCTTAGCAAGCTTTCAGGTTTAAAAACCCTTCTTCAGCCTGAGGAAGCATCTGGTCTAATAAAAGATATCAGTTTTACCCAAAAAACCTTGTCTGCCTATGTCCTTAGACCAAAACGGCTACAACCTACACCCTTGTAATAGAGAAGTATATAAACATGACCAAATGTGTTTGATTCTTTTCAGGTATATAACAGAAGTGGAATTATCTTGTCCTCACTGAGCAAGCAGCACTGTCCTCACAGGTACCTTTGCTGTGTCCTTGGACCCAAACCTCTATAAGCTGGGATCTGTGAGCAGGTATGCAAACTATCTCATTGTCACAGTTTGACACTGGGACTTAAAATCAGCTTAAACTCTGGCCAGTTTATGATGACTTTTCTCACTGGAATTCATTCCTAAAGGGTCTACCAACCCCACAAGCAGCTGTAGTTTGTTTTCAGGGGACACTGTCTTCATGCAGGTGTCTTAAAGCAAACCCAACCATTAGCAAAGTCACACTAGTTCGAGTTGTAGCAAGAACTGTCTTATCACCATTGCTGTTTATATGGCACTGGTGATGTCCTTTCAAAACAATCAATGATTTATGGCATAGCAAACGTATTTAGGAATAGGTTTGAAAGGGTCTCTTTACCTTTTTGTCTGTGAACTTCATGCACCAAGGGTTTCTAAGATCCAGTCTGCAGCCTTGATCATCCAGCCTGTGGGGCTCTGGCAGGCACATTGCATGCAGCTCATCCTGGCTCCAGTTCATATGCTGCATGCGACATGCAGAGCATATCTAGTATTGGCTGCACATGGCCCAGGGCCAATCTGGGCATAAACTGGGGACAGGTCATAAATTAGCCCTGCATCCCAAAGCTAGAGCACAGGGGCCTGTCCGGCATGGGTATCACATGCAGTGTGTGCCCCAGACAAGCTCTGCATGCTTCATTTAGTATGTGTTCTGGACTGGCCCTATGTCGCCACATGCTATGAACAGGTCTGGCCAGCATGTGCTGCATAAGGCATACAGGGCTGGAGTTAGCATGTGATGCCAGCAGCACACACGGCCAGTCCAGGACACACACTGCATGCAATATCTGCATCTGACCCACAGACTGGCCCTGTGCACCTCATCCACTTTGCAGGACTGGATGATTTAAACATCCCTGTTATACATGATTCCCAGTGTTACTGCAAGGTTGGAGCATCTCTGTGTACTGTGCCATGGCATTCATTTCATTTTATGGTCCAGGGTGTTAAGTGAAGTTCCATATTTTGTGCATTCAAACTCAAACAGCTTGGTTAGCCAGGCCTTTGGGATCTTACTTGCATGTATTGAGCATATAGTATTTCAGTTAGGTATGTATGGGCATAACATTTACTGCTTGATAAACAGATTTACTGTGTGCCACCTTTTCCATGTGCGTGCACTTACCCCACAGCAAATGAAAGCTAAACACTGGTAGCTTAGTCCTCACTGATAGAATGGGTTAGTTTCTGCAAGCCATGTGGTAAGAATCATGTCACTATGGAGCAGTGGTTGCATGGGGAAAGCTCTGCTTCCTTTCTTCCACTGGTAAAGTTTTTTTTATATGTCTTTACCTTAAGGTAGTGTACTCACACTTTTTTAGCCCCTTGGCCATAATATTGAGTGACTAGCCTGCTATGAGCAACATTGTACTTTACTCTTCTTTCAATGTCAGTTTAACTTTTTAATTCCCAGTGGACATAGGCAGCATTAGATGTTCTCACTAGTGCTATAAAGTCCCTCTTCATTGGTCATTCTGCAATTCCCGATAGCTAAAATAAATGTTGAGGAATTCAGGTAATCTGCTTAGGAAAGATAACACCAACCTAACCCTCTAGGGTATTGAACACTAGTTTTGTGTGCTTGTGTGATTCTAGGTATTCTAGAATAATATAAAGAAATCCAAAGATCTTTGCATGGCATAATTCACAAATAAGTGCTGTTTGAGTTATTATTTCACCTGTTGCTCATCTGGAAATAAAGGTTGGCATAATAATTCAAAGTACCTTGAAAATCTAATTTTTGTTTTCATCAGTGTAATCCTTATTGCAATTGTTTTAAAACTTAATTTAAAATTTCACTAGGGGGCAATCTTTCCTAATAAAGGATATTGGATGCAACGTTAGCAAGGTCATATATCTCTTAAACAGAGAGAGAGACTGAGGTGAAAATCATTCTTAATTTGCTGTCCTTCATAGTAGAATGGTTAAGGTCTGAGATTTATGATATATAATGCCATCACTCTTTTTGTAGCTCATACTACTAGCAGGACAAAATTCCAGAGGACTAGGACAGCTTAATGCCTGTGTTCTGAAAAAGGTAATAGCAGTCTGTTAGGTAATGCTTTCTGAACCATGGTTTTAATCATCTAAACACTATGCTTCTATCAATGTCTTTATACGAGGGGATAGCATGACCCTAAATTTGTGCTCATTTGAGAGTGGTTGTAGTCCCATTTGTGTTGCTGCCTTTTTGTACATGTACACTTAAATGTGCCAAAAACATGTTCCCCCTTCTACTCCTAGCACTGATACTTGTTCTGTAATTCTGGACAAATTACTTAATTACTTCAGTTTCTCAGCTAAGATTTGGAGGAGGGTAATTCCTATTTTACAAGGGGATTGATTAATTCTCATGATGTGTGGAAAGTGCTTTAAAATGGAGAAGTTTTATGGAAATTGGTAAGTGTTGGACAAAGTGGCAAAAGCCAGGAAAATTTGAGGTTAAAATTAAAGTTTAACTTTTACCATTGCGGGCATGATTTTTTTATTATTATTATTTTGATTACTTATTTAAAAAAAAGTTATCTAATGTAGTTTTAGATTTCCTGGCTATTGTTGGTTTCTGTACCCACAACATACATTATTCATGCTTAGGAGCCACGGGTGATCTGCGAACATACTCTTGAACTTATCTAGATATACAGACATAAATTTAAACAAAACCAGGCCAAATCAGCTTTGACAACATTCGTTAATTAATAACAGCTAATTCTAGTTGTTAGTCTAAAGAAGATTATGCTGCATTTGAAGGTTTATCTAAGACTACACCAGCTGTGTGGTTGGTCTAATAAAAGATATCATTAGGTACCTACTCAAATCGTGATTTTGCGGAAATTGCGAAATAAGATGATCTCTGCAAAATCCACAGAAAAAAAAGTCCTAAAAATAAAATGCTGGCTCCCCAGTATAGCTGGCCCCCGGGGGGTGAGAGGAAAAGGAGGACTGCCTGTCATAGATTCATAGAAGTTAGGGTCGGAAGGGACCTCAGTAGATCATTGAGTCCAACCCCCTGCATAGGCAGGAA